TTGCAGCAAAAATTGAAGCTCATTCGAACACAACTGGCTTAGACATTCTCTATATGTGGGTACTCCATATTTTGTGTATTCTATGCAGAAACAACTGGTGAAGCTATACAAAGGACATGATAGCAGCCAATTCGCATCTTAGGGCTTGTGGAAGATACAAACTTATTTTCATTTACAAATGAAGCAAAAAAAAGTATTAAGAGTGATGTCATTGACAGGAAAAGGAGTGGATAATGTTAGTTCCTACAAAGCCTTTGCCACCGCATTATTAGAAATGCTTGTCATTGTGATCTTGTTATTGACCTACTTGAGAGCATCAATAGAGCATATTCAAGGCCTCACCTATTAAAATGCCTAGTGATAAATTGAAACTACTATATCGTCGATTTCAGCCTGTCTTGTGCCTATGCCAATAGTATTTGGCATTAAATTTATTATTTTAAGCCAAAGAGCAATAAGCCATGCGAACAGTAAATAAAATTGTTTATGCTTTCACATATTTAAACTTTTACAACAAGGTTAAGACGGTTGGAATAAAACAGTTTATTTAAACATCTATCGCTTTCTAAAAGCTTTCCTCCTTCTTCCGAAAGAATCATCCGCTGCTTGATCGGCTGAAAACAGTCCAGTATCATCTTTTTCTGCACGATCTGATTGAAAAATATTTTGATTTGAAAATCTTGAGCCAATCTCAAAATTGGTGGGAGTGTACGGGTTAGATTGCGGTACCGGTCCTCCAGACGTGTTAAACTCAAATTTCACAGATTTTGCTGCACTTTCTGGCTGTCCACTAGGGTTATTAAGTTGAAATGGATTAACGGTCCTTGAAAAGGGATTCGTTAGCTGGGAATTGTGCTGTAAACTATTTGCTTGATTGTTGTTGGCCAAAAACATGCCATTTTTCTTATCTGTTGCAAATGGGTTGGTAAATTGTTTGGTGGATAGGCCGTCGCCCACCTTATCAGTTGGACTGTTAAACTGATTTGTAGAAAATGGATTAGCGGTCTGGTTATTGATCTGGCCAGTAAAAAATGGTGAGGTGTCCCTTTGATCAGCAAAAGGATTATCTACCTTTTCGTTAGAAGGAGCGTTTTCCGCAGTAGCTCCTGGCTTTGAACTAGGAGCTGAAAACGGGTTCTTTAATTTGCTATCCGCTTTAAGGCTGCTAGATTTGGGCATTTGATTGGCATCAGTCATTGTAAATGGATTTTGAAAGACTTGAAAATGAGAATTTGATTCCTTTGGACCGCCAATCTTATAAAAAGGGTTATTGAAAAGATTGTCAGGCACCAAATCAACATCTTTTACTTGGTTTCCAACTATTCTAGATGGAAAAGATAAACTAGACGGCTTTGATGCAGAAGTGGTAAAACTAAGTGGTGGGCCTAGTGACTTTTCAGACACATCTGCTCCGAGTTTGAAAGGATTGGCAAATTCTTGCCTGCTATTCGCCTTTCCCATCCTGTCGTCTTCAGCTATAGATGTTATTGGTGACGACGTCTCGCTATTTAGTTCCTGCACTATTGGCTGATCTTCCAGCTTTAAATGAATATTTTCATGTACTTGTAAAGGACTCAAAGATGAAGTTGGCTTATCCAAAGGAGAAGAGAATACTTGATTCTTAGGCTTCAATGTCTTCTCCTCAATATCTTGAATACCCCCGGCTGATCTGGAAAATCCAAATGACCTACTAGGCTCGTTCGGCTCGGTGAATATTGAGCGCTCAGGGATTGATGTTTCTTGTGTTTGGTTAAGATTTAAAATCCTCCTTGCCACTTCTGCACTTTTCTTCTGTTCCTCTTTCCATTTTAGAAACTCTCTTCTTTCATCTTCAGTCAGATCATCTATCTTAAAGGCATCATCAGTGACATATCTTCCAAACAGAGCCGGCACTCCAAGCTTCTCATTCAACTCATTTATTGTGTCCTTGTTTGTCTTTCTCTTTTTTATTCTATCAGCAACCAGCTGCTGATTTTCAATTTCTAATTTCTTTGAAATCTCCATTCTCAATCTTCTTTCCATACAAGCTCTGCATTCATTTTTCAGACAGTCGAAATCGCACTTCTTAGGTCTAAGAGGAATGCTGTTCAGGTTTTCCACATGTTCTCTTGAAAAGTATCCTCCTTCTTCATCACTACTCACGTCTCCGTAGATAATCTTCCCTCCAACGCTGTATGAAACATCCTTGTCGTAATTCCTCGTTCGCTTAGAAATCTTTCTAAACTCATCTGTGATAAACTGATCATACCTTGTCTTTACCAAAGCTTTACTCCTCAATGAGTTCTTCAAGATTCTCATTTTGCGATCTAGCATTGTGGTATTTTCAACAATGCCTCTCAAAATTGTATGTATGTTGTCTATGTCTTGTATTTCAAGTGGTGTCACTCTTCTGAATATGTTTATGAGTTCTTTGTAGCTTTGCGTGTATTTTTCTTGGTTCAGACTGTTCTTTAGTTTTCTGAAGATGTTTTTGAAGAACTCAAGCATGGGTCTAAAAATTTAGGAAGACATAAGCAAACTAATGTAACGGAGTACAATCAGTGATACCGACTAGCCTCAAGCCGTTTTACTCCGTTACATTAGTTTGGAGAACCACACACTATAGATGCGCTTTTGGCTATTTGTAATACTTTTTCGAAGTAAAACTGAGCATAAGGCATTCAACTGTCATGTGCCTATTTGCGACATGCTTCCACATGTTCTGTCAAAAATGACAAGAAATTAAAATTCAACGGTAGACATAAATGGTACTTTCTTTAAAATATTTGGTAATTCTACAACGTTTAAGTGCCAATCACACTTGTGCTACACATTCAGCGGAGAAAAAGCCATAACCAGACGATCCTTTCTAAGAGCCAGGCCTACCAGTTTGCCATTCTCCTGCTATCTAGCCTGCAACTCATCGACTTCACCTAGCATTTAACTTTTTGTTTAAAATTTTTATTTAAAGATCCCACTATGAAAATTACAACATCAAAGAACAATCCAAGCTACAACCTTGAGCAGGGAAGTGCTTATTACGATTACAACAACTACACTATTCCACTTGGAAACATCTCCAACTACAAGATTTCTGGAAGGCTGGGAAGGGGAAAGTATTCTGAGGTCTTTGAAGGAAAGACTGTTAAAGAAGAGAAAATTGTCATAAAGGTACTAAAGCCCATCAAAGTAGCAAAAATAAACAGAGAGGTGCTTATTCTAAAGCACTTGTCACATAAGAACATCATCCCCCTGAAGGATGTAGTTTTTGATCCGGATTCTGAGACTTACTCATTAATCTTCGACTATATAAAGCACCAAGATACCAGTGTTCTCTTCGAAAAGCTCAATTTGAGTAGCATTAGATTCTACTGCAGACAGATTCTTGAGGGTCTGCAGTATGCCCACTCAAGAGGCATCTTTCACAGGGACATTAAGCCACAAAATATGATTGTAGACTCATATACAAAACAGTTAAAACTATTAGATTGGGGACTGGCCGAGTTCTATTTGCCAGAATATGAATACTCTGTACGTGTAGCATCGAAATACTATAAGAGTCCCGAACTTCTTGTTGGATACCCATACTATGACTACTCTCTTGATATTTGGTCGTTTGGATGTATTTTAGCTGAATTGATTTTCAGGAAGAGACCGTTTTTCTATGGAAATAGAAGTGGAGATCAGATTGTTGAGATTGTAAAGATTTTGGGAAAGAAAGACCTGAAAGAGTATTATTAAAATATGAAATTCCAGACATGGTTCTAGCCCAGGTTCAAAATTTGAAAGACGAGCGTTTAGATCTTTTAAGTTTTATCGACCCTGATGAGTTCCACTTGGTAGAAGATGGGGTGGATCTCCTCAATAAGATATTTGTATACGATCACCAGCTAAGGCCAAGTGCATCAGAGTGTCTTGCGCATAGATTTTTTAATTAAAATGCAAAATTTAAAATTCCAGCTACATTATATTAGTATTATTGCTACTCCACTTGGTTGTTATTGGTTGTTTCATTTGAAGAGTGTATCATGGGATACATAGAGCAGTAATAATGCGCAGTCCTATTTAGAGCATTGCATTCATTTCAGCATCCTGTCTTGCTAATCCCAATGGCAAGCTTCAAAGAGAGCATCAGACAGGCATTGAAAAATATAATTCAAAAACAAACGAAGTTGGGATTAAACAGCAGATTTGTATTCGGCAAAATATTAAAAGGCGTTAATGAAGCAGCAGCTCTTGAAAATTGGGAGGATCTCAAACTGCTTAAATTTGTTGGTGAAAAAACACTTGGAAGAATAAAAGAAGAGACTTTTGAAGTGAGAAAAGCAAGTGGTCAATGCAGCAACAAGGCTGACTTATCAAATGAAAGCCAGCTTATGAAAAAGATAGAAGTCTCAGATGACTTGTACAGATACAATGTTTATAATTCGCATATCAGCCAGGAAAATATGGAACATGCTAATAAAGTGAATATATATCGTAATAGCAGTTCAGGGCATGACGGCCAATTGAAAATCGAATTCCCAAGTGACGATTCCTATGTTGAATATCTTAAAAAGACATGTAAGAGGTATGAGCAGTCAGATACTAATGGAAATAGGGATTGCACCAGCCATGCAGATATTTCCGAGGATACCTTATTAAATGATACAGTATGGGACGTCGAAGGAAAGATTGATTGCTGTGATATTCAAAAGGGCTCGATTGGCAACATCGTAATCGGAGATACAGATATGGGTGATGATGACAGTGATCTAAGCTCTGAGCTAATAATCTTGAATGAAAACGATCTAAAGAATACCCAAAAGATAACAGAAACCACCAATACCGATTTAGAAAAGATATTTGACAGCTTCAGTGATTTAAACTTAGAAGAGTTCAAGATAAACAAAGCGAACCTTTCAAACAACGTTTCTTCCATTGATAGCAGCTTTATCAACTCATCAAATACTGCTTCCTCCTTTGGCTCGAGTATTATGAGCAATGCCACAATGAACAATATTAGAGATAATCCAAATACTTTAACTAATACAAGACCGCTATACGATAGCATAGGATTTGCGGATAATAGCAGATCCTTGGGGCAGGATCCACAACGAAAAAGAAAGTATGTTCCCGGATACAGAACAGCTGCATACGCTATTCTCAAAGCCTTGTATCACTATAATGGCTCACACAAGCATCTGATCGTATTGAGGGCAACACCTTACACAGATGCTGAGTTTGATAAAAGCCAACGGTTTTCGGCATTTTCATCATTTAAGACCCTCCAAAAAAAAGGATTAATCCAAATAGACTCAGACTCCCGCTGCTATCTCACACAGGCAGGATCTGAGCTATGCTCGGCAATGTTCACGAACGACTCGATCAGCACAGTTGAGGACCAAAATATCCAAATTGTAATCGATTCTAGAGAGAAAAAGAATAATAGAGATAGGGCATTCTTTCAAGGGCACTTTTCATCGAAGGGGATACCTAACCAAACTAGATACTTGAATGTTGGAGACTTTATCTGGCTAAAGAATGAAAGAGTGGTTGATGTTATTGTGGAGAGGAAACAGACATCTGACTTTGTAAGCAGTATTTCTGATGGAAGATTTAGGGAACAGAAAAATAGACTTAAAAACATGGGGTTTACTGTTTTTTATTTGGTTGAGAATATGAAGGTAGAGGAGAGTAGAAAGAACTACGTGAATAGATGCTTGCTGGAGGTCAGGTGCATGGATTTATAGTTTTAGAAACAGAGAACATCCAAGAAACAACATCAGTCTTAGAGAAGATTGATAAGATGATTAGAAGCAATGAAAATCAAACGCCTGTCAGCTATGGTAGCTTTCTGAACGAAGGCAGCAAGCACAATATAAGGGCCCGGGATATGCTATTTGTGAGTCTATTGAGTGTGAAGGGGCTGTCTAAAGTCTTTGCCATTGCGCTTTGTGACAAATACCAGACACTGTCGAACTTTAGAGAGCAGATGAAAAGCCCAGAATTCAAAAATGGTTTGGCCAGCTTTAGAGTTAATAATAAAGTTGTTGGAGATAAGATTGCAAACAGAGTTGTCTTGCTTCTTTCATAAAGACGTCTATGGGCTATTGATATTCTGAGCAATCCCATTTTCCAAGTGCTTATACTGGATATGTATTAAAATGGTACATTAAATCCGTATGTACATAATGGCTGACCACAAAATTAACGGCCGAGATTTTCCCTTGTTATTAAGCTATTATTTTTATAACTCCTTCCGCAAGCAGAAAATTTTGTAAAATTTTTAATGCCCTACAATGGCAATTAGAGCATCAGGACAGTACGTTTCTAAGAATAAGGGATCTAGAAAAACAAAGTCTCGAGCAAAGGAGAATCGGTTCTCTAAGAAGCAGTCGTTCAATCTTGTTACTTCGCCAATATTTCCAGTAACCCATCATGGAAAGACATATCATCCCAAGACCAAGGCCAAGCAAGATCTCACATCCTTTCTAGTTGGTAGAACGTTTAAAGTAAACCAAGGAGACTTGAATGGAATGAATACTGAAACTCACAGGAACTTCTGCTTCAAGGTTGGTGATGTCAGAGGAAATGATTGTCTTGGATTTTTCAATGGCATGTATATGGCAAGGGATAAGCTTGCTAACATGATTAGGAAGTGGCACTCTCTTATAGATGCCCACTTGGACCTCACAACGTCGGATGGCTCTATATGGAGAGTCTTTGTTCATGCAGTTACTAAGAGACTTCCCGGACAGGTGAAGAGGAATTCATATTGCCAGACGACACAGGCCAAGAAGATCAGAAAGATTATCTTCGAAGTGCTTACTGAGGAATTTGAAGGCATTGATGTTGACAAGTTGGTTAAGAAGCTTTCAACAGAGGCCGTTGGAAAGGAAGTTGAAAATAGATGTGCTAAGATCTATCCGCTGACTGCCGTTATTTCCAAGGTTAAGCCCATCAAGAACATGAAGATAGTTGAGGCATTGAATGCGAAGAATGTGGCACAATCTAATGCTCCTGAGGCTAACCAGTTTATCATTGCTGAAGAGGCCAATTAAAAGTTTATTTATCATTCTATATTTTGGGTATGTGTTTTTGTTAATACTCTCGGATACTGAGCTATTTTCGGGCCTTGTTTGATGCCGATGAGGCCCTATTGTTTGTACTAGAAAGCCGATTTTGTTTTTGTGCTGATTTTTAACAGCTTTCTAAAATTTTTATGTTGGTTTATCAAACTATGGATTTTGCCATAATTAACCATAATCCATATTTATCGAGATTTCTAAATATCTAAAAAATTTTGCCTGGCCATGACAAATGCTCATATTGAACCACATGCAGAAACCAACATCCATATGCATCCTATCTTAGATACTTTTGTTTTTTACTTTACATCATTACCAAATGCCGAGCTGGCAACCATACTTACTTATATTATATCATTCAGTTTTGTATCAAAACTTGCCATCAATCATGTTAAAAAACACTTCAGAAACTACAGTCTAATGTCGTGCTATGAATTCGTATTTAAAAGCGTATTCATCATAGTTCTGAGAATCATTTGCACACTCATGTGCTATATTATTTATATTCACCTCAGAATCGAATGCTTGAAAATCTCATACTGCATAATACTAATGATGGTCCCACTAGGACAGTTCGTATATTATCTGATGACAGATTTCAAATCAATCGCTGTGCCTAGTTTTCTCAGACTTTTAGCTTCATCAAGACTTTCTATGTTCATTTTTTGGGGTTTAAGCCTTGCAGAACTTTTGTTATTTTAGTGGAGTATGAGCTTTCGTTATTTTTGTATCCAACACATATTATGGAATATCTTGTGCTTACTGAAGGCATTGTTGGAACTTTGCATTTCATATATCTTTTGTATTTGCCTATTGCCATTAGAAAACCTAGTGTTATGCTCATGCAAAGGACCCAACTCGAAGATGAGTTGCACATCAGTATTGAGCCTGCCGATAGTCTTGGTCCCAAACAGCTCGACTTACAACCTAATTCAAAAATAATCGACGAAGCAAAGAAAGACAAGGACAATAGGTATCTTAAGCGGTTAAATAATGGACAGAACGCAGCAGAAGAAGGTGGCCCAAGCTCACATGAAGAAATGTGCGAGCCAGAATATGTAAGAGTAGGTATCCCATATTTGCTTCGTGAAGATTCAGCTATGAATCTGGAAGACCACAGCCTCGACAGAGCTAGCACCACCAGATCTTCAGGCAAACAGGAGCATGAAGTTTACGTTACACTTCCAGATAACTGCATGGATACAGTTGAGAATATTTATGAAACCATTAAATAAATGACTATATTAAATGCAGATGAGTATTTTCAAGTATTCTTCCAGGTAAACAGTGCTTATTTAAAACAAGGCATTAAATTTTCATTATTCATATCGACCTTAGAAGAATGACGGTGCGAATCCATCTTTCTAAACTGCAGCTTCCAAATGTTTTAAAACGAGGATCTTGATTTTCTAAATGGACCGAATTGACATAGTATAGTTAGAAGTAAAGGGACATTTTATATAAGACCTGAAGCTAATACCAATCAGGTTGTAATTGGTTGCTTAAAAACTTACTAACATTAACAGTGTATGCCCTTAGTATTTAATCATCAAATATAGATGTCCATACCGTATTAAATAAGCTCTTTATAGCACGTGAAACTGGATTTCTAAAAACCAAATCGTGCAAAGTAATTCCTTGGGGATGACGATATATCATTGGTGGCAAAATAAACACATCACGTTTATCCAGGTCGTATATAACATCCTTGTTTGTGTTATTATAAACAACATCATCCACATGAACATTTACAAGTTGTGGAAAGTTTCTTCGTCTGAACTTGGGAAAATCAACAGCTAAATTAGGGTTACCTTCCAAGTTTATCACACGGAGCCTGTTCATGATAATTTTCCGATCCGTCACGTTCCCAAGCATTCTTTCTGGCTCAAAGGCTGCAATATCGTTGTCTTCCAGATCAAGAAACATAAGATTGGTAAAATTATATAGACAAGGGATACTGGTTAATCCATTACCATTTAAAGTCAGCCGTACTACATCGTTAAAGTCATGCTCATTTAGCTCAGTAACATTAATGCTGGTCCGATCAAAGTTAAAACCCCGAGTGTTGCAATGATCGTAGAAAAACTTCAAAATGCTGACGGGCGACTTTTCTAGGCTAATTCCCGCCAACTTAATACCATTCAAGGACTTTGTTTCATAAATCCAGTGGGCAGCAAAAACTAAATAACGAAGATCGTAAATCATATTTTCATCGGCCTTTTGATCTCTTACTACATCGTGGACTAGACTATACAGGTGTAATGCAACAATCTCTAACACCTCTTTAGTGTCTACTCCCTGCGCTTTTGCCTTTTCCAATACTTTTGTCCTTTCGAGACACTCCTGTAATACAGCAATAACGTTGTTGTTGTTAGCAAAGGTTTTAAATCTACCACTAGCACAAAACACAAATTCAATGCCTAAAGGCAATTGCTTTGTGCAAACGGTTGGATTGGTGAATGTTGTCGAAAAATCCAACTCAGTGGCGGAGCTTTTATCGATTGGTGATGGCTTAAAGCATGTGGAATCTGCATCGCTCTGCATTATGCATGCACCACAGTTTGTTACACCCATATAGCCTGTAAGTAGCTGCATGGCTATACTAGAAATCATTCTTTTCATTGACAGCTTAATTAACGTTTCATACATAAGGGCACGTAAAAATTTTTAATAAAATAAGCAAAAAAGAAACTGAAGGAGATTTAAATAAGAAAGACATGAAACTGTAGTTCAGACAATATATGGCAGAACATAACTCTTTGGATGAATGGGACGTCTATTTTGATGCATCTGCATTTGGACAGCAGTTTTCCTATTCTGCACTTCTTGTTTGCAAACTTTTTATCCCAATGAAACTCCATTTGGAGCCAAAATGCATGATTTCCAATTTGCCGCCAACGATCGGCCCGATCATACATAAAAACTTGTTTATTTATTACAGTGCTACCAATGTTACCATCTCTGACTTATCCTCGAACAGGATTGTCCACAGATTTAAATACGAGAATGTCCAAGTCTTGAAAACACACAGAAACAATCTCTACATATGCACAAACGACATCTACATTTTAGATCTGATCAACTTTCAGATTATTGATGTTATTAAGCTTTCCAAAGCTTTAATCTCTAAAATTGCTCTGTTTGAAAGCAGCATTCTCATATTCAAAGTGAATAAGAAACTCAGTCTTTTGAGTTCTGACAGCAGCCACCATAGCTATGGAAAGAAGTTTGAAATACAACTAGACAGCTTCTGCAATGGGCTATTTTTAAGCGAACGGTTCTTTGGGTATTTTGACTCTGAGAGAGTCGCAGTATTTTCAAATAGCTGTAAGATGGCTGAATATGAATCCGAGTATGTGCTTGATGTATATCCAAAAGAAGGATCGGTGTATGTTCTTCAAAGCGATGGAAGTCTGTCGGAGATTATGTCTGGCTACAATGTTAACTTGGGCGTGGAAATTCAGTCAGGTTGTTTTACACCTGACCATGTATTATGCATAAGCAACAGTGGTTTTTCGAGGATATCGTATATTGGTGAGGTGCTAGAGGAATTTAATATTAATACCAAAATAGAAGAGTATTCAGGAGCTGTTTTTGACTACTACTCGCATGTAAAGAATAACAACTTACTGACAGCACCTGAATTTAAAAGAATTAAGAAATTAAAAGTGTATGAGAAGGATTCAGTTGGCGAGGATAACAGCATCACAGAAAGTATTGATGAAAGTTCGACTTCTGAAAGGAATGGTGGCACACTAAATGCAAGCTCTCAAGATGATGCTGATGATATTCAGAGCACATATTTGCAAAGTGTCTATGCTACTGACGAAGAAGATCTTGATAATGGCCAGGGCTTAGATTCAAGCACTAGTGAGGCCATTGGCATTGATGGAATAGATGAGAACCAAGATTTGGACTCGAGTATTGATAAAAAATCAAATGAAACGGACACTGGGGACCTGAGCTTCACATTTGTGGACTCTGAACTAGTCAAAACATCAGAAAACGATTATATTTTCTTTAAAGATGGGGATATTACAAGGATTCTTGTATTTGCTGATGATACGACGGACTTTGTATACTTTAAAGACTATTTGATTTTAACAACATCATCCGGATATTTGAAGTTTGCCAGCATTAATGGATATTCCAAAGACGAGTGCATTCTAGATGCATATCTTCTGAAAATACACAACAATAGCATAACTGCATGTAGGCTATACAAAGATATCTTTATTACTACCGGTAAAGATAGAATAATGAATGTTTTTAGAGTATTTAAGCACAGAAGGCTAAGATTTGTAAAGCTTTTTGAATTTGCCAATTTTACTGAAGAAGTAACGGCATTTGCATATGAAAATAATTTGCTGGTGGCAGCGACCTCAGATTTTATTGTCCAAATATTTCAATCGGATCAATGCTTGCCTGACAAACAGATCGACTACTTCGATGCAAACGCCCTTGATTTTCTGCTCGACTATTCGCAATTTTTCAACACATTTGAAAATATTAGTGTTCAAAAACTCCATTCAAAAGCAATCAACCATATTTCTCTAATCAACAAGTTCATTGTAACATCCTCGTCTGATAAATCAGCCAAAATACTCAGTCTTGAAGGTAATCTGGTGAAAATAATTCAATCTGATAAAGTTCTTCATACATCGTTTGACAGCAAATACATTGCTATTTGCTCACATAAGGCAGTAAAAATAATCACACATCCATCTTTTTCCCCTGTCTGCTCTTTCCAGGCCCGAAGGCCAGTACTTTCCAGTTGTTTCTACCACGGCTATCTTCTTACGCTCAGTGATGTCTTGAGAGTATTTGATATTGACAAAAGGAAATGCGTCAAAATGTATGATCTTGGTCTTCTAAGTTCTTGGTCGTTTAGTTTCCCGTTCATCTGTGCTGAAAATAAGATTGTTGTACTGAAGGATATCAGTGAGGAAAAGGCCAGGTTAGATGCTGATGCGGTACGCCTACTTACAGAACATACAATCTTGTTTAGTAAATTTATATATGACAAGCAATTTGACAAGGCCTTGGATGTTGTATTGAAAAGAAATGATGAAAAGAAGGTTTACCAAGTAATCTCGCAGGGCTATTACCATTTTGGAAACTTGGATTTTCTGAAAGACTTTATGAAGAATGGCGAGGTAAAGAACAGAGTGCTTGATATTTTGATGAAAAACTCAAGTTTAAAAAGCTCCCTTGTTTTCAATGAAGTTCTGAGCCATTATTTCATCGACAAGATTGACAAGGCTAAAAAAGAAAAAATCAGAGAAATAATCCACAAACACGTGGATGCGATCGACAATATCTACATAGAGATACTAGGTCTTGAAGCATATGTCAATCGCCAAGAATAGTGCGAATGTGTGCTAATGCAGTATTAATATACACGTTATCTGGAAGAAATTAATCTTTAAACTTAGTCAAAGATTGTCCTTTGGCATCATATAAAGGCTTGGCTGTCCTACATGCTAGTGGTAATCATATTGTATTTCTTTAATAGCTAGGTCAGAAGCACATTACCTTATATCGTAGAATAAAATATATTATAATTAAATCTAGAGTAAGCTTTAATAAGGTTGTGTATTCCAGAATATATGTTTCAATTCATTTATTATTTCCTTTCTCCACAGTTCGGACAAAAGTTTGATCTGCACGAGGTTCCAACTCCACACTTTCTACATCTGATAATTTCAATATTGCCTATATTGTGGCCACATCTTGAGCAGGCTAGGTAGGGATTGCTGTGGCCACAGGGAATGCAACAGCAGAAACAAATGTAGCACCTTTTTCTGTCTACTTTGTAGACTGTGTCATTTATCGCATTGCATCTTGGACAAAGAACATTCCGTGCTGGATCCGAGTAATGCTCTGGAATGGAAACAGTTCTTGGATTACTTACACAGCTGCATATGACTGGAACACAAACCATTGAGGTTCTCGTTTATTGTTTATAAATTAATAAAAGAATCAAAATAGAGAATATATTAAAATATAGATAAGATAGCCAGGTATAGTTGTGTGTCAATCAATGCAGTAAAGCACATTCTGCATAAGGGTCAAGTAAGATCAACACACAATCATTAGTTTCTGAACCTTAAGCTAAAACAAATCCATAGATGTGCGAGGCAATGAATATTTAATTAAAAGAATGGCTACTGTGGGCTTTTGAAGTAGTAAATATAAGTCTGGTTCTTTCTCCCTGACGCCTAGCATATGGTGTTATTTGATAACTGAATACAAGTTAAAATTAGTGCGTGTTAGTTTCTATTTATTTCTCATCTCGCCTATTGTCTTTCTTTTGTTGTCTGCATGGTTTTCATCATTCCCGTGGTTCTCACTGATATTATCTGATCCCTTTCGTTCATATGTTTTAATTTCTGAGTCGGTCAGCGCTTTTGGATTATTAGGTACTCCGGGCCTACTTGTACCACAATTTGGACAATAATCAACTGAATAGCAGGTAGTAACTCCACACCTACTGCACTCCTCGGCTGTCACATTCCCACAGGGAAAATTGCATCTAGAACATGCCAGGAAGGGCACTCCTCTTCCGCACGGAATACAAGGTATGAAAAGCACACCACAATACGCCCTATTTTGTCTATATGAGGCCTTGCTAATATGGCCACATCTTGAGCATAGCATTTTATTGGGCGGGTGTGGATAGCCTTCTGGTGTTTCTACAGTTACGGGCATTGATATGCATCCCAAAGGTATGCAGCAACATTCGCACATGGGCTTCTCATCTAAAAATAAACAATATTGATTTTTAAATAAAAACAATCAAAACATCCAGAAAAAGGTAAGATTCACATGGATGTGTTAAACCATACATACAATAAATTCAGAGGATATTTCCAATTTTATATTTAACTAACCACGTTCTTCTGTCGGCATCTCCTTTCTACCCCCACATATTGGACAGTAATCTGATTTGAAGGTCGTTAATGTTTGGCAGGATATACATTCTTTTTGGGGAAAATGCTCAAGGGGCATATTACATCTTGAACAGGCTAAGAATGGCTCCCCGGTTTCTACCCACGGGCAGGGAACAAAGAAACATACACAATTCTTGTATGTTTTTCTATATACGGCATTGGTAATGTGGCCGCATCTTGAACAAAGGATCTTTTCAGGCGGGGTTTCAAAACCGGGAGGGGCATTGATTGTCTCATAGTGTGTGTCTACTCTATTAGGTCTCAAAATCCCAAGGAACATCATGCACATAGTTCTAACTGTGATAGAATCTCTCCATAGTAGTTTATCAAAGTTTTAAAATTACTGGTCTAGTACGTTTCAGGTATAAACCTAGTAGAAACTAACAAGAAAGACGGACCAGTTGGTGGAGCTAATTTAAACGACTACAGTTGCTGGCACTTAGACAGCATCAAAGTGCTTCGTGACTAGATGGTAAACGAATATGTGATGATTTAACAGACAGAAAATAGTTCCAGTACACCTACAACCATGCAGTAGCCGGTAATCTTGTTTACATGTAGCCGCATTATATTCAATTTTTTATTAGCAATTTCGATTAAAAACTCTATAGCATGCAGTCTTCTTTGCATAATAATATGCTTCTATGAACATTCGTTTAATTATCAGTAATTTTTTTACATTTTTATTTGCTTTTTAATAGCCCACATGACGCCCGATACTTTTGTACATAGAGGAGACTTGGTAAATGAAATGAATCGGCTGGGAGCTCTGTATGACATAAAGGAAGAGTTTATGGATGCTCAGAATGTCTTTGTGCTATGCTGCAGCAATAAAAGCGAGAGATGTGAGGCTAGAATTATAGGACTGTACTCCCAGAAAGACAAGCTATATCACATCAGAAAGCTGGACTCAATTCATAGCTGCTCTAAAAACACAAAAAGAGAGCTAGCACTCCAACACGAGCTTTCCAAGTATCGAAACTCTTACAAAAGAACCGGAGAATTGGTGGAATGTCTCTATGGTAAATTCAAAGCAGGATATTTTGATGTGTTTAAAGCTAATATAAAATGCAATCAAGGCTATGAGACACACACAGCTAGTCGGTTTGAATTTTTCGAAAAAGAGAACAACATGAACAACAGCATTATCAATACTAATATTGTAAACTCCCAGGGAAATGCAGTAATAAATGGCAATATTAGTGCGGACGCGTTATTTATCAAGGAAAACCAAATGTTTGAGTACGATTCATGCCGGGACAGTGTTATAAGCCAGAAGACAGACGATTCCAAGCATGAGTGCATATGCGCACTACGGGAAGAGTTGATGATGCTCAATCCTCACATTACTTGTGAGTTTTCCAGGAATAATTTCTTCTTTAAGCATACTCAGATGTCCAGGTTTTTGAGAAAAACATGTGAAATAGGAATACTGCCTCGTATCAATGGCACTATTATTTTTGGGTTCCTTTTTGATCCAAACGATGATCATATTATTCAATCAGTGCTGGTTTCAGAAGAATCAAAACTCAAGGCGCTCGAGATATTCTTAGAATATGATCGCCAGCATTCCGAGAATACCAACGATGACGCTAGAAACAGCAGCACCGAGTTTAAGAATGGCAGTGATGAAAGTTCCGCCACTGCTAAGCTGTTGTACATTGTCGATATGGACTTTGATGTAGTTGAATATTTATCTTCAAAGAACCATCCATTTTTCATAAAGTCTCGTTCAGTCTTCCAGTACCTGCAGGATCCAAAGGAAGATGATCAGAACCTTCAAAACTACTTCAATGAAATCAACTATGGAGAAAAGGAATTTCTCGAGCTTGACAAGGCGACGTATCTAAAGAAATTCTGTCCTGTAAACCTGTATAATCTTAATAATGCCCACTATCCCGATTTTGAATATATTACACCCTACATTCTCTCTCTGTCTTTTGTAGACTGCATTACCTCACTGATATGGCTTATATCGGAAGACATAAAGAACAGAAAGACGATTGTTGGGGAGGATTGTGCCTCCAGAATCTCCGAGAGTATTGCTGGAATATTCGAGGAGTATAATGACGTGGAGCCTACCGTTGACTGTGAAGTAAATCTGAGTGAGGGTACCTGTGAGTGCGGAAAGTACCAAGAATTCTTATTTCCTTGTATCCACGCATACAAAAAGATCAAGGAAATTGGCAAGGATCCAATACTGTACACTTCAAATATCTACAATAAGGAGAATTTGCTGAAAATCAAAGATATTATTCCAGTTGTAAATGTAAAAATACACCCATTTAAGCCAAAAGCAGTAGCAAAAAAAAGAAAGGGTGAACTAGACAGTTCAGGCGAGAAGCAGTACTAAATGAGCCTTAATAAAATGTTTGACTTTATGTCTTATTTTAACATTTGAGGATTAGTTGAGAAGGAAACATTTATTTTATGGGTGAGCAATGAGTCTAAAGCCAAACAGATAAAGCCAGACATCATTTGAAGTTCTATCCTGTTCGAAATGAATGTTCATTTGCCATTACAAATGATATAGGGAGTTACGATGTGCTTTGCCCTTCTCATTTTTATGTTGAGCATAGATTGTTATACAGAAAAAATAGACAGTAAAATGGAAAACACCGTGAATAAGGAACATACAAAACTCCTTATTTACGAAGATAGACTGGCAATTCTAAATAAGATAGTACTTTTTACCTCTGTCAAATCTGTGCATGTCAAAAATGAAGGAGGATGCTTCCTCAAGCTCAAGATTGATGGCCCGCTGCCCTCCATTGTACTGGAGTTTGGTACAGTCCACATACGAGACATGGTCAAGAATATCATTTTGGATCGAGTCAAAACAACCGAGAATATTGCAAAAAAAGCAGTTGAAAGCAACATAGACTGCAAAAAAATTCTTAAAAACATCCAAGAAATAGTAAAAAACCCAGAATCCCTTGTAAAGTATACAGACAAATATGTGAGTCTTTATTTTCAAAAAGAGATGAGCTTCAGCCCTGAAGCATTCTTCTCTTCGATGAATCAACCACTGATGGATGTATTCATTAAAATGAACTGCTCTATCGAACAATTTTACAATCTTCTGACCAACTCGTATTTCTTCGATATAAAAAATCAAAAGAATTCCCTTGACAGGCTTGTTATCAGAGAGCCTGAGAGAGAAAAGTGGCCATTTAGGTGTTGGCAATACGACTGTAGAGCTGGATTATGCCACAAGAATAAATAGCTACAGCCTACTAAATCTTGTGGAGACTGTAGACTGTCCTTTTGAGATAAAGCACAGCAAGTCTAAGCAAATAGAATTTGAGCCCGAGTATTCCCTACTCAGCACTTCTAATACTGCAAATAACCATGTGCATAGTGAAAATGCCAGTGGGGTTTGTTTTGATATGGGTAAACTCAGAGCTGAACTTCCAGTACTGGACCAACATGACGCTGTTTCTATCTCCTTCGACCAATCTGACTTTGAAGCTGCCAGGAGCCTGTGCAAGCTTGTTTATGTAAGTGACAATAAGGAACTGATTAAGGAAGCAGTGAGATTTTCAGAAATGTTGAGGAACTTGGTTGAGGGAAAGTATGGCAAGGAGGCATTGAAGTATATAGAAAGGCTTGTTCCTACGTTTTACTGCAAGCCGGATTAGAAATGTCTCAATTAGAAATTAATAGGTAAGCAGCATCGCTGTTGGCCCAAAAGAGACGAAGGACTTTTATTCAAGAAGCGCTATGGGCAAGTAGCTGCAAGCATCACACTTAATACATTATCATGCCATACATATCCTTTTACTTATAAAGACCGTGCGTTAAATATTTCAATAATTAGTGTGATAATGGAATGTCTACTGGATTATCTTGGACCAATCTCGACTGCGCTGATAATTAAATATTTACTACATACAACTGTTAAGCTTAATTGAGTAGATTTGTTTATATTGTGGTTTCTCTTTTGGGTTATGTTTTATGCACCTGAAATTTTGAGCTACAAAAATAAAACTGAACTATCGCTGGTATACTACATGAGTACAGCCAAGAATCCTAAAAGGTTTGCCAGAAAGGATGTGGTCGAGCTCAATGTAGAATCAATCATCAATCAGATGAAGAATCCCAAGGTTCCCTTTGCATTGCGGCTATATTCATATCTCTTAAAAGGAATTGTAAGGATCTGGGTGATGAAAGTTGATTTTTACAAAGGCAAGGTGCAAAGTCTACTTTCTAAGAGTATGTCAAGACCAAAGAACAATGCACTAAGAAAAAGAGAGATATCATCCTTGAGCAACGAAATAAACCTAAGGATAATTGAGGATTTTATATCTGAAGTTGAAGATCTTAGTACAAATACAGAGATAAATTTGATACGACCGAATGGAAATACACTACGATTTGGCGCCATACCAGATGGATTTAACATTGATGGACTTTGTAGCGCTTATGATGGATTTAATGCTGATGGGCTTTCTATGGCACAAGATGGGTTTGATGTTGATGGATTTGCTGAGAGTATAAATTCCAATATTCCGAGCAATGCCAGCAGAAGAGTGTCAAGCATGAAAATTGACAGGAAAATTGAAATGAAACCTGATGAAGTATATGCAAAAAAAATAAAAACAAGCACATTTGAGGTTCCTAGTCTTATTGACTGCCATGCAATTCAGCTATTTGAAAGAACAATGTGTAAGAGCAAAGCTGATGCTAATCAATCTTACAACGCAGGGATTGGCTTTGATTTCGACACTGTCTCAATAGAAGACCCAAGAGTATCATCCTCACTGAGCCAAGAGAGGAGTATTGAAAGAGAACGGCCAGCAGTGTCCCAAAATGAATTGCAGGCACTATGGTTTTATAACCTTTTAGTTTCAGCCACAAAAGGGGAAGTAAGATTGGTTCAGAGCGAGCCATTTTCAGAAATAGTAATTGAGAGGCCATCTAATTAAATGAATATTTTATTTAAGCCATTTTCTCAATGTTTCCTACTAAAATGTGAGCGTTTGCTATAAACAAACAAGAACTTGCAAAACACAATCCCTCCTATAATTCTCGAAAAATTTGACATTAGTGGAAATTGGTTATAATTGGTGCAGCGATGGTCTGCAGTGTTAACCAATAGTCGGCCATGACAGTATTAATGTTTAGATATTTCAGTTATAAATTCTTTTGGCTGTGGTACCCCAAACAAATGTATTCATTTTGTTCCTTTTTTTGGCCTACTGCCACATTTATCCTTCTCGGATACATCCTCTATCCACGAGTATCACAAAGAATAAGAAAAATAAGAGTCCGTGAGGGTGACTACCAGGTAGTCGTGATTGTCAACAGAGACCTAGGAATGTCGAAGGGAAAAGTATTGAGTCAGTTTGGCCATGCCATCGACTCCCTGCATGAGAGACTCAAGGACCATCCCGATCTAGTACGAGCATGGAGGAACAATGGCTCCGCAAAGATTGCTCTAAAAGGAACTCAGGAGGATCTAAACAAGGCATACTACGATGCAAAGACTCTGGGAATGCCCTATGTTAGAATATTTGATGCAGGAAAGACACAGGTTAAGGCCGGGTCGAAACACAGTTGTGGTACTGGGGCCAGCAACCAAGGAGCAGTTCCAACCTGTGACAGGATACCTCCAGCTGTACTAGATACTATCATTAAATTATTAATATTGGCACAATCGACTGCTGCGATGCATAGTCTTCTTTATTGCATCTTCTTGCCACCAAAGCCCTACATCATTAGGAAATCTCCTTTGTATCAATCTACCAAAATCGGACATTCTCCACGTAGCACAATAGCTGAGAAATACTAAAATTCAAACACTCTTTTAACTAAGCCAGTAAACAGTTAAATTAAAATGTCAGAAAAACAATGCAGGACTGCAAAAGCAGCCCAACACCCTTTTTTCCGTTGTTCTTCTCGGGAATCGTTCAGTTTGCAAGATTGCAGCTGACACGTGAGAGAAGAATGGGCAGACAACCAAATTTTTAAAAACAAAAAAACTAGGTTAAATTAAAATGTTCGAAGAATGTGCCAGATTCAACTTTGATGTTGGATCTGATGGCATGCCATTCCTCATCTGTTGCTTTTGAAGTAAAAATTCAAGAAAAATCTAAAATTTTTTAGAAAAAGCGGGGGCAGGGTTGAATACCTTTTCTTTGTATTGGAAAGTGTTTATTCCCGAAAGCTCTGGCTATGTGTTTCTAATAGTACTCTGTTTTCACAGCAAAGCCACGACGCACATTTTGTTATTGTCTTTATGTTATGTTGTTATAGTTCTTCCATGGCGCATATCCTTCTCTCGAATAATAGTCCATTTGATACTCTCCACCCTCGTAGAATACTTCAAAAGGAGACAGTAGCGGTTTCCTGTAGCACACTCCCCAATCAATACTTAGCCTGGGACAGGAAACTTGAACAAAAGCATCTACAAAATCAAAATTATCGAGAAGATCCTGATTGATTTCATCTAATACAATCTTATAAATTTTATACTTTCCAAAGCTTTCTATTCTCTTGGCTACATTCCTGAATACATGCTTATTGCCCTGTCTACCCAGAGATCCTAGGATCACGCCAAAGCTTCTTCCCTCAAATGCTCTTTTAATTTCTCTTTCCCGGAAGACCTTCATTTTTTCATAATCGTAGAACTCCTGTGAGAGTTTGCGGGTAAAAGGGCAGTATTTATAAAAGTTAAGAGCAGGATTGCGTATCATTGCGCTTTCAAGATGAAACCTTCCGTCCCCAATGTAGATAACATCATTCACCCCAGAAATAACAGGAGAGGTGCAGCCTAGTATTTCTCCTGGGCTAAGAGGCTTTACCTGGGGAACATTCAGCTCTAGTTTGCCATCTAATTTGCTCTGGTCTATCATTCTCTTTAGCCTATTTACTGATGAATTGAACTGTATTGTTCCAATAATGGCTATAGTTCCTGCAAAGTTCTTTATAATCATTTTGTAGAGATGCTCGACATCTATCTTTATGTCGACAAAAACGTATAACACTCTGGTATTCATCTCGGATACTGGAATGAGACAGCTGTGTCCATAATGTACCAATAAGTCTACTTCTAAACTCTGATCATCTATGCAACATGCACCATACACTACATCATCAAGAACTACGCATTCTGCTTCTTTAAAATACGCTTGAATAAGATCGATGAGTACCGGAGCGTAGCATAGCAATCCATCTGGGAACTGCAATGCAATTCGTTTTGAATTCAACTTTTCGATTGTTTTTAGTGTCTTTTGAATTTCAAAATTGTAGTTGGAAGGAATTCCCGTTACGTTTTCTGGATATTTTGAATGCTCTTTGAGGATGACAACCATGCTCTTTTTACAGGGCGAAAAACTTACACTTCGATGTGAAAGGAGCAGAATATGCTTATGCATCTTCTATACTCATTTGAACTAAAACATCTGTTGAAGAAGTACTGGGCCTATTGGATATTATTTGTTTAGAATCTACAAATAGAACTGCTGAGCATTCAGCAATGCCAATCACATATAAACTTTATTTATTCCTTTTCTATACAATATCTATATATCTTCTTGCTCTGTGCACCCACCCACAATTCATTTCCGTTGGCTAACATACAGTTGACACTTGATCCAACATCCACCCTCCCTACACATCTGACAGAATGGTCGATAAAATCCCAGCACTTAACGATACCATTCTTACATCCTGTTACAAAATAGTCATTGGCAGATGATCCGCTCTTAATCCATGAATCATGGGCATATGGAACAGTTTTAAAAGGCTGTCCATCATTCCATACTTTTATGGCGCAGTCTCTTCCCAGGCTTATGCACCTGTCCTTGAAGTACAGTAGTTTACTTACACTATCATAGTGGGGAGGAGACAGAGAGATAAAGTCGTGAGAAAACCGAAATCTGTCGGCACAAAACTCATTGAATTTAACCGAATGGTCTCTGGAGCAGGAAAAAAATTTACCTTCAGCAAGTATCATATCAAATACAGCACCACTATGGATTCTACTGGAATGCAGGACTTCATTGGACCTTATATCCAGAACATTTAAGGAGCCATCCTCATGCCCAGTAAAGACAAGATTGTTCTGAATTGTCAGGGAGGAAATTTCGTTCTTATAAGCATATACTGGAAGGGATCTTCCAGTACTGATGAACATTTTCAAAAGGGATCTTGAAGAATAGTAAAGATTAGCAGAGGAGTATAGACACCGAATACAGTCGTCTGAGACTATGCTTGATAGTTTTGAGTCGTAGGCTCTTATTTTCGAGTCTGCACAGTTGAAGAATACCTTTCCTTGATGAATAATAAAAGATAGGGGGGTTTGATCGGTTACGGTTTCTATTAAATTGAATGAGACTCTGCGAGTTTCCTTTAAGGGAGTAAAAAGGATATTCTTCTTAGGCTTGGGCTCCAGATCAAAGGAGACAAGCTTAGTTCTTTTCTTTCTTACTACACCCGCACTACTATCATCTGACACTCCAACATTCTCCATTTTGACTACATTGCTTATGCTAGATACTAGCGTGCTAATATTGGATGGTTCAGAATTTGTAGTGCTATTTCTGGCATTGGCCATGCCTGCTTGATTCATAGTAAAGAGCTGATTTGCATGAGCTGATTGCTCCTCAGTATTTACTTCGCTTGTATAATTCGTATTTGCTGATGACAAGTGTATTTTAGAAATATTCTCAATGTTCTCTTTGATAATATCAGCCTCAGATATAACACTCTTTTCATTTATCTGGGCTCTGCCGGTGTTCTGTTTTTTGGGTAGCACCGAGCCATGAATTCTTTCAACAAATGTTGATTTCGGGAACACCTCATTGGCAATATGGCTGTCTCTACCCACATTACTATTCACAGCATCCTTGTTTGCAAAACTAATGCTGTTGCTGCCTCTGCCATCTTTATTTATAACACTAGCATTGTTGTTGCGTGTATTTTCTACAATGCTCCGTATGGCATCTTCACTCTCATATCTCCTCAGTCGACTTATAAGTTCAACCACAACAGGATGGTTTCTTATCTTTTCATTTTTAAATCCTGAGCAAAGGGCTGCAGCCCTAAGCCTATTATTCTCATCTTTCAGGGCACTTATCTCCTTCTTTAGATTCAGAACTATCTGCTTGTCTTTATCACTCTCCACATGAACCTTTTTATCAAGTGCTATCAGAGCTGCCCTACTGGCATACTTCAGTGTATTTGTGGTTTCAAAAAGATCTTCTTGAAGACCGGAGACACAGGATATCAAAAGAACATATCCATTAAGGCACTTTTGAAGAATCCTGGTAAGCTTGGAGTCTCTGAACGGCACGTGGGGTTTTTTCAGGTACAAGGCACTAATCACATTTCCCAAGGAAAGGAGGCCAGCATTTATACTAATAGACTCTCGAGCAGTATGTCCACTACATTCTGTTCTCTTCAATCTTTCCGAGCCTGCTAGATCCACAAAGCTCATCCGTGACTCCACAGGTCTATCGCTGACTGTTTGGCGGAGGGATAATGTAAACATAGCATGCGATCTAGAACTCTCCACATTCATTTTTGTGGACTTTGTCGTTCTATTTTCATTTCCCTTTTGCAACACCTCTAATGCTTCGCTGTATGAGGAGATTTCAGTCTCAGTCAATCCTACTATATTAATATCCTCAAGTCCCTGTCTTAAATTCAATGGGACTCTTATTTCGCTCATAAGATCGTAAATTTCCTCGTTGTATATCTCTATGAATGAGCAGGCCAGTGTTAGCCCCCTTTTGAAAATGCACTCCAGCGAATTCTGGATTATCCCTTTCTCATTTATATGAGTGAGCCCCATAGTGTATGTCTTTCCAGAGCCTGTCTGACCATATGCTAGGATTGTGCAGTTTTCGCCACTAACAAACCTTTCAACGTATGGCAGAATAGAAGTGTTGAATAGAGTGGTTTGAGATACCCGATTGTGCACTTTTGAGAATGTGTATATTTTAGATCCCGCTATTATTTTGTTGTTTGAGAATTCTAGCACATTCCTTGAGTTTGGTCTTATTCTTACTTCAACACAGACGTTTGGCATTTGGTATCCAGGACAAAATTTTTGAAAGAGAATATCAAAAGTGCTCATTGATTTTACTATGTTTCTAGATTAAATGCATTCCATTGAGACGGTCTATTGCAAACATGTTTTATTGGAAGAAAATGGTGCCAAAAAATAGTTGTCCTTGTCTATATTATTTATTTGGTAGGATAAACAGCTTTTCTTAGGTGGTCTGTGCTCTTGTTGGGCGTTTCATAGAACTTTTTGAGTATTTCAACGCATCTCTTGTCATTTACACACTTTCCACAGTTTTTGTTTAAGATTTTCCTTGCTCCAAAAATATCATTGTGGTATCCAAATATTACCTTTGCATTGATTTTTTCCAAGACTCCAATACACATGGCACAAGGCTCAAGAGTAATGTAAAAGACAAGGTCGTCCAACGGCATTTTACTTTCAATGAGCATCTTGACGCAAAGATACTCTGCATGTGCTAGTGGGTCGGAAAGTGTATTTGTCAAGTTATGTGATTTTACAATAACTCTACTTTCTCCAGCTTGTACATGGATCTGCTCGCATGCGCTATTCAAATCTCTTATTACTACGCATCCTACGGGGACCTCATCTATTTTCAAAGCTTCCTCGGCCTCTTTTAGTGCTAAATTCATAAATACTTTATCTTGCTCCATCCAAATGCTGTATAATTGTAGACTGAAGATATCAGGGCTAAGAGCGCTGGCAATGATGGCAGAGAGTAATAAAGTGCATTTGTGTAGCATGTCTTCTATGCATTGGAAAACGTGTATTGCTCTATATAAATTAAACCCAATTAAACAAGTGATTTAAGTTGTTATTGGTTGGCTGTTTGTATTGCAAACATATCTCATTGTTTACAGCTAGTTTCAGATTCGAATTGCTGAAATTATACAACAGCATTAAAACACCGAAATGCTTATAAGATTGCTAGCAGGCATCAACATCACATACATTACATTTATTGAGTGCAAAGATGCGCTGGAAAACTTTAGTCCTGACAAATATGATCTTAAAATGTCAAAATTAGACTCCGTCTATGCCAACCAGCAGACCCCTGAAAATGACATTGACAACTCGGTTGCATTGGAAAATGAAAAAATGAAGAGGTTTGAAACGCAGGTTGAAACCTTGAAGGGATTTATGGACATTGACAATCTTTATCCAGTCACCAGCAGAAAATTGTGGGAGGCCATCTACAAGTTCATTATTGAGCACCTCAAGGAGCTGGTAAAAGATGGCAGACTGGGATTCACATTCTATATTAGATACAATTTCTGTCTGTACATCATTCCGCTGCTTCCCACGGAGTATGTTCTTGTCTTTCCATCGTTCTACCATGTCATAATTCCTGAAAAGGTTAAGAAGTATCCGCTTGTATTAAAATTCTTAACAGGGCTGGAAAACTTCCTGAAGCTTGTGAAAAAGAAAAGCAAAGTAGAAGTCCTACCTGCATTTATGGTTTCAAAAACATTTACCTCGGAAAAGGACATTGAGATTATAAAGCAAATACCCGACTTGATACGCACAGATCCATTTAAAATTATAAAGTGGCTTATTGACTTCAAAATCGAGCCTATTGGCGTAGTTTAAAGAGCATGGCACTAAACTGAATACAATGTATGGTTGCTTGCGAGGCATCATAATTATAAAGGGGTTGTGCCCATTCACAGTATCCATGTATTGTTCTTGTTTCGAGTTATTTTGAGATGGTCGCTTTAGCCTTACATGAGTTTCCATTTCGACTTTATGATGAGACGTTACACCAATCAGGATGAACAGTATGGAAATCCAATATTGAAGCGATGCTAATATATTTTATTTATAATGGCAGACTGAGTCGTTACTTATCTTTTGTCTAAAATTGCTGTGTTCAAGGTAAATTCCACCACTAATCGCGCCATTATGCTGAAAACAGGTCGTGAGATATTTAATTGAATAGAACTAACTACTAGTGCATTCTTTTGTAATTGGCACAAGACTTTTCTTTCTGCTTTTATTACATATACCCGCTATGGCAAGAACAAAACACAAAGTAGAAAATGAAAATTGTTCCAAAGCATTCACACATAACAACCATGCAAAGTTAAAAGAGTCTGGCGACAAGATAGTTGATAGTCGCTATAGGGAAATATGTGGCAACAAGCAGGAACTCACAGACTATAAAAAGTTCAAATATTCTTTTCCTGTACTCAAAGGCCAGACAGCCGAAGATGAAAACAACCAGAAGATAGATAAAAGCGGAAAATTCAAAAGAGGCGGGGGTCGAATAAACAGCAACCATGCCATATTTTCAGGCCAAAAGCTTGATATTTCGGAGAGATTCGAATGTGAAACTTTCGTTGGATTTAATACCAAGTCTTTTATCAGCTGCCTTGACTGGAATGGTAAATTTATTTGTGTTGGTCTTAAATCTGACTCTGCACCTTTGAACATTTTTGAGAGACGAGAAGGCCAATCAAAAATAATTATCTTCGATACGGACTTAAAGCTCATTAGGAAGCTGTCAGCAAGCTTTGGGAGCGTCTTACAGGTGAAAATACATAACAACATTCTCTATGCCTTGTTTTCCAATGGGTTTCTGGCCAAATATACCGATCTATCGACTGAATATGAAATATTAGAAAAAGACCGAAAGATCATTGTCTTCGATGTAAATTCGGAAATTCTAGCATACACCGACGGACCGAATCTAACAATCAATGGAATGACTAGAAATTATGACGGAATAATCATTAAGGTACTGGTATATTCCGGATTTGTCATAACACTTGACATAAACGGTAGAGTCTATATGACAACTGTCAAAATGGAAGAATCAAATGAAATTACTGCAAAATACACAATAGCAAACATAGAAATAATCGAGTCATCTCTTTTTCTATTTGAGGACTCGCAATACAGTGTGGTATTTCCGTTCTCAAGTGACGAGCAGGCTGATGAGCTCAATAAAAAGTTTATGAGCTTCTTCACAAAGACATCAAATGGGAAGATAGTCAATAACAAAAGGTATAAACTGAGGAGAAAAACGAAGGAAGTATTTCAAGTGTGCAAGAGAGACGGAATTGTCCATTTTTGTGCGAACCCGACAGAGTTTTCCGAAGACCAGTTTGAGAGAATCGTCAATGTGATGAGTGGCAAGGATAGTTTTATACTTTGTACCGAGAATGGACTAGTATTGAAAGTATATTATTTCTAATTCCGGCGATACTATATTTACTGCATGAGAAATAAAGAGGGCATAGCAATAACGGCATGGGTCAGCTTTAAAGTGAAATTTATTAAGTGTCTGAAGCTTGTGAACTATCAACAGCAGTGATCGATGTGCCGTAAATGTTTGGACTTGCTAAAAGTGTGATTTAGCTCTTTATTATTTATCAGAAGCGCAAAAATCAGCTGGAGTAAATACTAGAGCAGCATTGTAGCTCAAACGATGCACATTTTTAAATGGCAAGCATACAAAAGATATGTTTTCTGATTTCTAGGTACTGTTTTTCAATGCTATTTTAAACTCTGTGTCCATGCATTCATATTTCTAATACCAGGACAGAGATACTTGATCTATTAACATAATAGATTGCTAAGTTATTAAGTGCAAACTTCAAAACACGAAGTGTGAAGCAACCAGCAGGGTGTGCTCTTTACTTTATATCTTTAGTCATCACCGTTAATTTTAAACACAAATAAGTTTGACACAGGCGGAATTTAAACTACAAAAATTTGTGTCCTATAAATGGACAGTGAAAAAGCCCGAGAAAGGCTAAAAGACCACGCCAAGCTGTTTGGCTACCAGCTCAAGACTGAGCAGGAAGATGAAATTGTGATTCTCTATGAATTAAATAACGAGTTCTACACCGACGATGCTTTTTCTCTTCATATTGAAAATTACATGTCAAGACAAGCAGATTTTCAAGACACTGTGTGGAAAGAACACAGAAGACCCTCGGTATTTGCCAAACGTGTTAGCACAGAAATATTCGACATTCCTACATACAAAAAGACTCCAGAACTTACCAGATTCCTAGTATCCCAACTTGGAGCTAGTATTCCTTTCTGTCTTCTGGACGAAGAGCAAAAGTGCTCTTTAGTCAACACCATGCATCCTTTGTACGTTGAGGCAGGTGTTGTATTGATAAGGGAAGGAGATGTGGGAGCTGAAATGTACATTGTTGAGGAGGGCGAGTTCGAAGTCATCATTGGAAGTGACTTGGTGAACAGAATGTATTCAGGTGCTGTTTTTGGTGAGCTTGCGCTTCTGCATGGGATTCCCAGAACAGCCACAGTCAGAGCGGTTAAGAAGTCGCGAGTCTGGTCTGCAGAGCAGACATCCTTCACAAGTATCCGAATTCGGGATCAGGTATATAAAAAGAGTTTAGCAAGGGAGGTCATTTTGGAGGATCCATTCTTTAGGGAAAGTCTAGAGGATCCTGGGAATGTTGAAAGAATTCTCAGCTCAGCATCCTGTAAATTTATGCCAGCAAGTACCCAATTTGAGTTACAAGATGACGAAGTTGTTATTGTTCTTAAGCCGGCAAAAATTAAAGATACAGAGGCAAGGGACGTGCAGCCTAAAGACCTGATACACACTAGTTTCCGCTGCCTTACAAACCTTGAATGTTATATAGTAAAGACAAAGGATATTACCGAATAAATTAAGATGATAGTTTAGACTTTTAGTTATATTCATTTTAATATTAGACCATTGTATTTTAAGCTTACCTCTAAGCTGGATGTAGAATAGCAGTTGCTACGATACTAATCTGGATGAACCGATATATGCACACATGCTGCTCCTGGTTGAGAAGGCATTGCTGTTAGTTTATAAAGTGCATCTAAGCATCAGATTTTATTCATAGATCAACAACCATCGCTTCCCAGAAACTCTTGTATAAAGTCGATATGTGGCACTGGATCTTCTCCGAAAATACAGCAGTATTTTTCAGGACACTTAATATTAAAAGGTACTGAAAGGTAATGATGGAATACATATTGGCCTCTCTGAAACGAAAGTAGGCAATGTGCAATGTTTTATTGTTTGATTTTTGATTTGAGAATCAATTTCAACCAATTAAATTTTTTAGAAAAAATTTAAAAAAATTCAGGAGAAAGTCTGGCAATGTGTGGAATATTTGGATATTGCGACATAAGGTGTAATAAATCACAAGAGGAGGTGTGCGACATACTAGTAAGAGGACTCGAAAGGATTGAGTATCGGGGCTATGATTCGGCTGGTGTATGTGTTTTTGATGCCGATACTCCAAAGGTATACGAGAAGGCGGTAGGAAAAGTACAGTACCTCAAACAAAAGTTGCATGAGCTAAACACCGAGGAAGGTAAGAGATTGGGCCAGTACATGAGTATAGCACACACTAGATGGGCTACTCATGGCGAGTCTACTGTGAGAAATGCACATCCTGTCAGGAGCGATCCAAATGGGACATTCTATGTGGTACACAACGGAATCATTTCTAACTATAAGAAGCACAAGGAGTTCCTTACGTCTCAGGGATACAACTTTGAGACTGATACAGATACGGAAGTTGCAGCTAAGCTTTGTTTGTATCATTACGAGAAAAACAGTGGATTGAGCTTTTTGGAACTTACTAGAAAAGTTCTTGGTGACTGTGATGGGCAGTACGCCTTTCTATTTCTTAGCTCAAAGTTTCCAGGTCAGATGATAGCTGCGCAGAGTGGAGCGCCAATGATTATAGGTATTGAGGCGCCCGGAGATGGCAACTTTGAGTACTGTGCAGAGAGAAAGTGCCATTGTTTGAAGTCGTGTGCAGGCTCCGATTTTTTTATTTCCTCAGATATTGCTGCAATTATCGAACATACTTCAACTGTTGTGTATGTGAACGTGGACGATATTGCACTGCTATCCAAGAGAGGTATCGAGATATATAGCCAGTCTCCAAAGGACCACAAGAGTGTAAAAATTACCAAGCTTGACACTCATCTTATTTCTGCAGACAAGGGAGACTTTTCGCACTACATGATAAAAGAGATCTACGAGCAGTGCGACTCGCTGTCAAATACCACGAGGAACAGGATTGATTTCGATAGTGAAGCTATCAGGCTGGATTCAATTGAATGGCACAAGGACGCATTGTTGAATGCAAAAAGATTTGTTTTTGTGGCCTGTGGTACCTCATACCACTCTTCATTAGCAACAAGGAAAGTATTCGAGTATCTAAGTGATAGATCGGTGGTAGTTGAGACAGCATCAAACTTTCTGGATCTAAAGCCGCATGTGGACGAAACTGATGTTGTGTTTTTCATAAGCCAATCTGGCGAAACCGCTGATTCCATAGCAGCGATGAACTACTGTCAATCTAAGAAAGCCACGACCATTGGAATTACAAACACACAAAACAGTTCTATTGCAAGACTATCAGTCTGCAACTTTGATGTGCGTGCAGGTATTGAAAAGGGGGTAGCAAGTACAAAGGCATACACGTCACAGTTTTTGAGTAACATTTTGATAGCACTGTACATCAGCCAAGAGAGAGGCACCCATGAGACACGAAGAAGGGAAATTATGAGGGAGATCCAGAGTATTCCTGAGAAGGTGAGGAGGTGTCTGGAGATCGATTTGGACTGCTATATTGATGATCTATGCAATAGGAACTCAATTCTTGTTATTGGAAGAGGATATCAGATGTCTACTTGCTATGAGGGATCCTTGAAGATAAAGGAAATTTCCTATATACACTCTGAAGGTATCATGGCGGGTGAACTAAAACATGGTCCTCTGGCACTAGTCAGCTCCGAAATCGGAATAATCCTGATTGTGGCAAATGACGAGTTTTACGACAAGTCACAAAATGCATTCGAGCAGATTCGTGCCAGGAATGGTATCCCACTGGTTATATGCTCCGAAAGTATTAAATCTAAATATGAGAGGTGTATTGCGGTGCCCGACAGTATTGACTGTCTCCAAGGACTTTTAACTGTGATACCTCTCCAGTTGATCTCGTATAAGCTAGCAGTTAAGAAGGGATTTGATCCCGACTTTCCACGTAACCTTGCCAAGTCTGTGACCGTTGAATAAATCGCCATCTTTACATTGACGTGGCTATAAACGCAGCCAAAGATTGATCTGCTGTGCAATATTCTGGATTTATTTGTTTTAAGACGATTTCCACCGATCTTGTCAGCCAGTGGACAACATAATGTCATTCTAACATTTTTCTTTGTAATATTGCTTCTGTGTCAATCCGTCTTTTTGGATCTATTTCCAGGGATGATACAAGAACATCCACCAGTGGTTTGTCATGAAAATGTCCCATGAGGTATTCATTAAAGTTTGTTGTTGGCTCTATCCTCTTCTCAAGATACCTGCGTTTGTAGCCGTACTTTTTCAGTAGCTTCTGCGACACTTTAATTTTTTCAAAGATTTTCTCCAATACATCTATTGTATTCTTCCCTTTAAAAATCGGGAAGTCGGTCCTAAACTCACAAAAGACAGTCGCAAGTGCCCAAATGTCTACTTTGGTTGAATATCTGGCATGTCCCATCAAATTCTCGGGAGATCGGTAGTACCTAGTGCAGATATAATGATTATTGCTCTCATTCCGACGAAGAAGTTTAGCAGACCCGAAATCGCATATTTTGAGATTCATATTTTGGTCTACAAGAAGATTAGAAGGCTTTATGTCTCTGTGGCAGATGCCCTTCAAATGCAAATAGTTCAACCCCTCTACTGCCTGTCTATATAGATGCTTTACAAGGCAAACATCCCTGGCCTTATCTATCACAAAATCCTGGAAGCTAGTATGAATATACTCAAAACACATGTAAAGATAATGACCCTCTACCGTTGCATGCGAGAAGAAGTATGAATGCAACCTGATTATATTAGGATGATCAATCTTCAGGAGTATGTCCAATTCTCTATTGTTGTATTTATTATTCTCGTAGACAGTTTTCAGAGCATAAACGCTTCCTGCAGCTGTTTCTATTTTTGATACAAATCCAAACGTCCCTCTTCCTATAATTTCGATGATTTTATATGAAAGCTCTCCAGTGCTTCCATCTCTATTACATACCTGTGCAATTTTCTGAATTCCGGCAGTGCTCTTTGCCTCCTTAATAGCCAATTTTAACATAGAGACACAGAGATTGTCATTCATTTGAAATTCACAGGGGTGTCTAATTATTAAAATTAAACAGTAACAATGACCTCATGTCTGGAGGTAAAACAGCATGCTATGGTTCTGCTGGTTAATGAAAGTATACTATTGCGATATGTGTAGCAGGAAATAGAAAGATTTGTGTTGTTTTGTGTTTCAAAAATATCAACAAAGTCATCGGCCAACTAAATGCTACAAACTTTCAAAAATAAGTCTGTTGAATGCTAAAATTTTTTTATTTCTCTTCTTTAGCCCTTATGAGAAAGGATCTTTCGAGAGAAGTGCTGCCCACACACTACGACCTGTCCATTGATGTTAAACCAGAGATGTTCAATGGATCAGTTACAATGCATCTTAAAGCAGAGAAAAGCATAAGCACTTTTAGGTTCAATAGTAAAAATTTAGAGTTGTCTAACTTAGAGGTAAAGAGGAATGGGAAAACAATCGGTTCTAAAATAGGAGAATGCGATAATGAGTTTGTTGCTGTACATCTCAACGAAGAGATCGTTGGGGATTTTACTCTCTTCGTGGAATTCAATGGAGTTTATTCTACCTCAATGGAAGGATTCTACAAGAGCAAATATAACAATGTTGATTTGTTCTCGACCCATTTTGAGCCTGCAGATGCTAGACAGGCATTTCCATGTTTTGACCAGCCTGACATGAAGGCTACCTTTTCGATTACACTCAATGTTCCTGATGGATTCATGGCCTTGTCCAACGGTGCACTTCTGGAGCAGTCTGGCACCCGCTTTGTTTTTGAAAAAACCCCCATTATGTCTACGTATATCGTAGCCTATGTTGTGGGGCAGCTAGAGTACATCGAGGATGACTCCTACATTCCCATTAGGGTCTATGCAGACAAGTCTGAGAAGCACTGGGGAAAGTTTGCACTAAATGTTGCCACGCGATGCTTAAAGTTCTATGAAGAGTATTTTGAGGCCAAGTATCCCTTGAAAAAGCTGGACATGGTGGCAATACCTTCTTTTGCCATGGGTGCAATGGAGAACTGGGGATTAGTAACATATAGGAAAACAGCACTCTTGTTTGACGAGAAATCTACGCCCATTATATCTAAAAAGAATATAGCCGTAACAGTGTGCCACGAACTAGCACACATGTGGTTTGGAAACCTTGTAACTATGAAGTGGTGGGATGATCTATGGCTTAATGAAGGATTTGCCACTTGGGCAGCTACGCTTGCCATACAGAATTCTCTTCAGGATATACTTTCCTGGGATGCATGGACCAGCTTCATCAATGACGAGGTAGAAAACGGGATGGAGATGGATTGCAGAAAATCCACGCATAGGATCGGAATTGAGGTGAACGATCCTGTTGAGATCAATCAGATCTTTGATGCGATATCCTACAGTAAAGGGTCTTCAGTTATCAAAATGTTGGAAAATTGGTTAGGACATGAAGTGTTTAGGGAGGGGCTGGTCCATTATATTAAAAAGTTTAGCTACTCGAATACCATCACTTCAGACTTGTGGGACTCTCTAAGTCTTATTGCTAACCAGAACAGCACAGAAGATGAAAACAATAATGTTGTGGCTGTCAATGTTGGTTCCATTGTTGATCCGTGGATACGTAGAGATGGGTTCCCATATTTGGTCGTTGAAGAGGCACCCGATCAAGTTAAGCTTACCCAGAAGAGATTTACAGTTGGATATAAGCTCGATGACAAGCCTTGGCCTATTCCCCTAAGAATCATGTGGATTGATAAAGAAGTAGGCCAAGATGTGAGCGCTAGCTCCAAGAAGATTAAATTGGACAATCTCTCCTCAAGAGCCTACATAATGCACGATGAAACCTTCGAAATTGAAAAGGAATCTTCTATTTATAAAATCAACAGTGAGGTTTCCGGATTTTACCGTGTTGAGTATCCCGGGAAGGTTCTAAAAAGACTATTCGACTACTCTTTAAGCACGGCCGATAGGATGAATCTGTTCTCAGATTCGTTTGCACTGGCAAAGGCACTCTATACTCCTCTCCAAGATTCCTTGGCTCTAGTTGACTATTTAGTTACTGAAAATAACCACGAGGTTCTTCTGTCTGTGCTCTCTGGCCTATCCTACTTCCGCTCTGTATTTTATGATAGCCCATCCAAAGTTGAGTTCTTTACTTCTAAAATAAAAGATATTGTTGAAGAAAGGTTTAGACAGATTGATATTAAGGTACGTGCAGAAGACATCAACACAATTTCTCTCCACTCTCTTATTGTTGCTCGTGCTATCAACATCGGGCTTCCAGAAGCTCTTGCAAAGCTTAGGACAGCCAAGCTGTCCGAGATTAATCCAGAGTATCTCAGACCGTACCTCATGTCAAGAATTGACGACGAATTTGAGAATACCTTTAATTTGTACAAGACCAGTACTAGGCCAGGAGAGAAGCAAAGCGCCCTCTTTGCTCTGGGAGCTACAAGTATTGAAAAGAACATTGAATTTATATTCAGTAATATTGAGCAGATTGAGCCACAGGACTCCTACTACGTCTTTGTCTCCTTCTCCAACAATCTTAAGTTCAGGAACAAGGCCGCCATGCTTTTGATTGAGAATTTTGGAAGGATTAAAAAGCACATTGGAAATTCTAGTCTTGTCAGGGCTTCCATTGAGTATCTGCTCAGCCATGTTTATCAGGACAAATTTAAGGATAAGGTCATTAAATTCCTGGATTCAATAAAAGAAGATAGGGAGATGAAGAGCGCTATTGAAAAATGCACTGATGCTTTATCGATTGGCGAGGGAATACGATCAAAGTATTCTGCTATTGACTTTAATTAAAGTGCTATAAGTTCTATATGATTTTTATTTAGCTTTTGATATTGATTTCATTGAAGTGTCTGGTATTGAGCTTGCGTAATTTGAAAAGCTAATTTGGTCAAAGTAGATGGCCTTACTTGATGTTAGTTTGTGGTATATGTGCCCATTTGATTTTTTTGTTTCATTTTTTATTGGTTTATTTTTCACCTCGCCTGTTTTTGTGTTTCCAATCCACCCTGCCATGGAAGAGAATAATGATATAAAGGAAGATAACAAGAGTAAGCACAGACCTCTTTTTAACTTTATAGAAGATTTAGATGAGGAATATGAATTAGTCCTACCACCAGAATGCGAAATAAGAGGAGCCAATGCTCATTATGTTCTCGACCATGGTAGATGTACAGATACTATTACTAATTGCAACGATTTTGTGTGTGATCATAGCATCAATGTAAGTGCAGCGAGTGTTCTTGATAATGCCGAATGTGCCATTGTAGATGCTAGTTGTGGAGAGACTGGAAATGAAATGCAACCAGACCATGCTGAGGAGGATAGGAAAAATAGAAGAGTAAGCTTTGACACCTCACGTAATCAATACTTTACGGTTGAGAGACACTGCAAAGACAATGAAAATGCACTCTTCGAGACTGACGATGAATTTCAGGCGACTGAGTTTGAGATTAACCTTGACACATTCAAAGAACAAGACCGAGAGGTTTATTACTCTAAAATTGCACATGAAAGACCCTCCCCTTCCAATGGGGATAGTATAAACAATGAGAAAAAGACAATTGAGCTTTTAGAGCAGATTGAGAGTAGAATTCAAAATGACATGAAGTCATCTGATGCTAATAGCAATCCAAATGATAATGATAAAAATGGCCATACAGTCGATAATTCCACGACAGGCAGTACAATACATACTGTTATGAGCGATTCCCTGGATAGCCTTTCTGAATTTACCTCTAAAATCAGCTATTCCAAAGATAGACTTGCACAGATCTATGCATCTAAAGATGAGGATCGTAGTCTCCTCAAAATTACCTTCAGCGAGCCAGCCTCCGAGCCAGAGTCTGGCGATCAGAAGGTTATCATTGAAAGCATTCCAAGAATCAGCAATAATCCATTTATAATGAAGGACAGGATGAGTAAGAGTTAGATATAGTTTACAAATAAATTTTACGGTATTGTTTAGTATTTTTATAATCAATGTAGCTAACACACGGAGAGTTCAAGCAAATCAATCTTTCCAGGGCCTAGATTTTGTGGCATTTGAAAGATAAACGGGTATTAGTGTTCTTACTAAACTGTTTGTACTCTGTTTTTGTACTTGGGTTAGCACTTTCTGACCATATTAAATATAAAGTGGAATGTAAAATTGCTTACTAGCCTCTTATTATGTAATTTATTCATCAAAGAACTTTGAAAGCTTTTGCGACACCTGGTCTTTATCAACTAGCTCTGACGTTTTTCTTTTTAAATCTGCTGTTCTTTCGTGATCCTCCACCAAGCCGGTCTGCATTGATGTTATTCCATATGAAAATGCATGGATCAAAGATGCACAAATTGATAATGCATAGAGCAAAGACGATAAAGACAACATCCTGTTTGTTTGATTGCAGAATGATATAAGGTACTCTTTTTGAAACCAACATAATACTTTGTCATGACTGTCAAAGTTAGTTTTACAAATGTATCTGTAGAGATGAGATATTTACGAAGATCAGGGTTTGAGAGCAGAAAATATATGGGTCTTAGCAGTAATTTGCTGATACTAAACAGACGCACCCAACTAGCTGCAATGTAAAAAGAAAACCATTTATAGATCGCAGGTCTTTAAATAAATCATCAGCTGATCAAGCATTTTATATGAAACTTAACAATATAACGCGTTTCCCGAGTAAATCTTTATTAATTCAAAGAGCTCTTCTCTCTCTTCCATTTATCACCTTGCTTAGCCATGAAAATCCCTCCCTCAGAGGTGTATTCTCTGTGTATATGTCATGTGAAATTATACTCAAAAACCTCACATGCACAGGCTGGCCTGGATTTCTCATCCTACCAACACCCGTCTTATTTTCTATATCGAGCCTGAATGCTGTATCCAGCTCAATACTCTCCGAAGTATACCCCAGTAGATCAATCTTATTCATAAGCACAAGAATCGGAGACTCTCTTTCCAGATCCAGGACTGCCTTCCAAGCCTGCGATACTTCCTCATATCTTGTGCTATCCTCCACATCAACAATAAATACAACACCGTCAACGTTGTAAAAATAATCCTTCCAGGCAACACGGGCTGCCTCATGGCCCCCAAGATCCACCACCTGTGCCTTAAGATTTCCTATTTCAACAATGTCCCTTGTTGCATGCTTTGTAGGAAGGAATATCTCGTTTGTGTTGTTTTTTAGCTTGTTTACCAAAGTAGTCTTTCCTGCATTGTCAATGCCTAGGAAAAGAAGGGAGGATGGTCTCTTGAAGAGGGTGCTGATGAACCATCCGATGGTATTGTGGTAAATTTCGGTGATCTTTTCCCTCAGTTTTGATGGAAACTCATAGAAGCTTGAAGCCATGGGCATATTTTGTGAATTTTTTTTGAAGTAGCTTAGACCAAACAAATAAATTGATATTAGAGATAGTTAAAATATAATAACAGTTGATGTTAGGATGGTCGAAACGCATTATAACATAGTACTGTTGGAGAAACATGGACGGCATGGTGCTAGCCACATTCCCTTTATTAAACCATACAAGCTTTTGTTACCTGACCCCTATTAATATAGTTTCTTTATTACTGTATATACTGTCAATAGCATGCTCATATTTAATTTTTATACTCTTGCTAGCGCCGCACATTCATTTTCATTAGTGCTCTTTCCGAAATAGTTAGCTCAATAGCTCTTGCTATATTTTAAAATAAAATTATTTACCCAGGCAGACATGCTGAAGGAGTATAAGGATGGGAATATTCTCACCCTAAGTGTAAGAAACTTTCAGACATTCACAAGCCAGCAATTTAGGTTTGGTCCATCTCTAAACTTGATAGCTGCTCCCAACGGCTCTGGGAAAAGCTCCATTGCAAATGCTATCGCTCTTGCATTCAATGGATCTCCAAGGACAATAGGAAAGTCGAAGGACATAGTCGAATACATAAAATTTGGGTGTCAGGAAGCAGAAATATGTGTTGAGGTCTGGTTTAAAGAGAAGATAGTGAAGCTGAGTAGGAGGATTACTCCAAACCATAGCTACTACTACATAAATGGGGAACTGACGGCCCAGAAGAGGTACTTTGAGCTTCTGAAGGAGATGAGCATAGATGTAAACAATCTTTGTACATTTCTACCTCAGGAAAGGGTGGGTGAGTTCTGCAAGATGGAGCCCAAGGAACTTCTGGAAGAGGTAATAAAGAATACCCATATTGACATGTCTGTGGTCAGGGATTTATATGATAGGAGAGCTAAGGTTGAGGAGGCGCTTCACTTAAACGAAGAGAAGAAGAAAATGGTTGAAGATAGATTGAATGTATTGGAATCTGACATGAAAGAAGTAAGGGGGCACGAGGAAAATACATTGAAACTAGCGCGACTCGAATACAAAAAAGACTGTATCAATTTTGAATATTTGAAGCACAAATTTACTGCTCTGAAAAAGGAATATAGGGAAGTCAAGGAAAAAATCGAAGAGTCTGAAAGATCCATTTCAGAATTCCAAGAAAAAATTGCTTTGTGTGAATCCAATCCAGCTTTTACTGAGTATAAGAAGAGTGTTGATATTCTTCTAGCTCAGAATGAGCAGCTAAGAGGTCAGGGGGAGAATCTTAGATCAAAACTTGAAAAGCTAGAAATGCTTCACTCTGACGAGGAGAAGATAAGGAAGAAAATGGCACAAGGCCAATCTGAATTTATTGAACGACAAAAGGAGCACACTCGGACCAAGACTGAGTATGAAAACGCCAGTGAAGAATTCTATAAGGAAATCAGGCAGTTCAAAAATAAAATTGTTCAAACGTGCTCTAGGCCTGAGCTTGGAGGGCTATTAATCTTAAATGGCAGCATAGCTCTTTCTGAAATAACATCCTTGGAGGACTTGGATTCACTTATTCCATCCCTGGGAAGAATTGATGATAAAATCCAGGAATGCAACTTTGAACTTTCAAGAATTCAGAATACCTCCCAGGAGATTCAAAGAAAGATCGAGGATTTAGAAAGACAGAAGCAGATACATTCAGGACAAGATTCGTTAAGGATGGATATGCTTAGAAGGTATGACAGTGATACTTACAAAGGAGTGATATGGCTAAGGAATAATAAACATGTGTTCAGAGATGAGGTTCTAGAGCCACTTTATCTGCATCTAGAAGTAGACAAGAACTATCAGCAATATGTTGAGTCGTTCCTTGGATTTCAGGCACTTTCCTCCTTTATTGCAAAGAATGACCAAGATTTCTCTCTTCTAACAGGTGTCCTTAAGGATAAGCAGAATCTGTCAGTCAATGTAGCTATGCACAGCCAATCCAAAATACAGGGAATTTCAAGAGCAGACATACAGAAGTACAATCTTGATGGTGTTCTTAGTGACTTCATTCAGTGCAGACAGGAGTATAGGGATTTTCTAAATAACTATGGACATTTCAACACCATTCCTGTCTCTACGAAAGAGATCAACGAGGAGGACATATATTTTAATCTTCCGGAATGTAAGAGAATGGCGTTGGGAAATAGGTATTCTGAGATCAAGAAAAGTAGGTATGGAGATGATTATGTGATAATTACAAACCGGCTGGTCCAGAAAGGACTGTTCAACTTTCCAAAAATTGATGTCAATGGCATAGATGCAGAGATGGGAGTTTTACAAAAGGAGCGGGAGAAGAACAAAATACGGGTAGAGAGGATACTAGAGCAAAAGAATGAGTTGAATGAAAAGAAAGTCTTTTTAAAGAAGGAGTTTGACACATCAGCTGTTACCAAAGCATCGTTCAACATGAAAAGACTAATGAGGAATCTGGAATTTTGTGAGAATCAACTGAAGGAATTTAGCACGGCCAAATATGATGAAAAGCTCAAGATTGCCGAGCAAGAAATTAAAAAGACATACCGAGATATTAAAGCAATCCAATGCAGACTTGAGGAAGTTTTGGATATTGAAAATATTCCAAAGATTGATGTTGAAGCAGTGAGGGAACTTAGGCTTGACATTGACAATTATATAAGACAGCTGCAGTACTTCGCGTACTCAAAGAGTATGGAAGAGGAAAAAATCAAAACAATTGAAAGAGGCAAGGAAACTACCAAGGCCGAAGTGAGAAGTCTTAAGGAAAAGCTGGATTCGTATTCCGAGATGGGTACTCTTGAAGGGCTGCCTGAGACAATTGATGAGATTGAAGATCAGATCAGTTTTCTCCATGCCAAGCTAAAGATAAACAAAGGACAGGATGGTGTTAAGGAGGATTATCGGAAGAAACAAGGTCTTCTTGAGCGCATTTCAAACGACATGACTGATTTAAATGCAGACAAGGCCGAGTTAGACAGGCTGTACCATAAAGAAAAGAAAAGATTGGTTGAAGAAATCAACCTTAGACTTGCTCCTGTAAATAGGACTTTTATGCAGATGTTTGAGAGGTTCGATTGTTCAGGAAAATTAGAGCTAGATAGCAGAGGGATTGGGAGTTGAAGGTGCTTGTGAGGTTCAGAGAAAACGAGGACTTACAACAGCTGTCCAACTTCCGTCAGAGCGGAGGGGAAAAGTCTCTGACAACTGTCTTATTCCTTTTGAGCCTACAGCAATGTGAAGCCACGCCCTTCCGTTTGGTTGATGAAATTAACCAGGGAATGGACCCGTACAACGAAAAGAGGGTGTTTGAAATATTGGGGGAGATGGGAGGTAGGTCCCAGTTCTTTATTATTACACCTAAACTTAATACAGATCTTGAATTCCTGAGAATACAACAGCAATAATAGTATATGGGGGTCCGGGAATTACGAAGGATATTGAGGGATACTCCAGGATGATGCTAGCATCATAAATAAACATTTCAGTAATATGGCGTTAGTCTACGTATAAAAGTACATATTGTGAAATTCAGACGAAAGGCTTTCTTGGAGCCAAAGATTTGAGCTTTTAATCGAATTTTATTGTGGCGGATTGCCAACTGTATAAAATAAACTGAAGTGTATAGTTTAACGAGATAGACCAAAAGAGAGGTATAGGAGCGCTTTAAGACATTATTTGAAGAAACATGGATAGACCCCTTAAACGCTTTTATTCACATTTACAAGCTAAAAGACAGCATGTGCTTGCATAATATATTCTATCTTCGTTCTGCACTATATCTTCGTCTTGCAATTTTCAGGCCATTATTTCCGGGAGGCCAGGAATCCTATAGACTCAGAAAGCGGATGACCTAGTATTTCCGAATCCACAGATGTAAAATACGCCATGAAAAAACAGGCATCGCATTGCTTCAGAAATACTTCAATCTCCCTCAGAAATTCTCCGCATCTGGGACTGCTAATCACAGGATCGAAATCAAGCTCAAGGCTGAAAATCTTGGATTCCTTAAATGTGATCGTAAGTATTCCTCGGAAGCTAACGATACCTTGCTCAAGTCTAAATATTAGCTCGTTCTCTGCCAGCATCCAGCTAGCCATTCCTAGTTCGTCAAGCTTGGCTTTGAGATGCTTGAGGGAGACAGGATTAATGTAGAGCATATTTAATCGGATATACCCATCAATGTCAAAGATTGAAAATATATTTTCCTGGGTTGGCAAGCTCAAAACACTATTTAATTTCGACATTATGCTATTCTGTGCATTAGCTTGTGCAGAGGTATTCTGTGTATTGCTATTCAATACACTGCCCGACATTGGGGGTAAAATTTTGAAGAGAGAACAACAATGGCACATAGACATTAAACAGGCAAGTACAACAGCGCCACACTCGCGGTTGAAGAAAATCAGTTTTGGAGCACATATTGGCTAAATGGAGAATCTACGCACCTGCTTCTTAAATTCTTTAATTCTACCCGATGCCTTCCACTCCTTAATTTTCGCCTTTGCAGCTTCATATCCGCATGCAACAATCTCATCGAACTTGTGGAAATCAGAGGCTTTGTATGCTCCAAGATCGGGAGTTATTAGCAGATTCTGTGTGGAAGACACTTCACTTCTCTTTTCGGTTTTAAGAAACGACAATCTGTACTGAGTATCTACAAGGGTAAGGTAGCTTTTGGAGAGAAACACATTCTTAAAAAACAGAATAAATCCACTAAGACTGTCGTATCTGCACAGCTTATTATCGAACTCGCGGCACACCTTCACTGTTATGACATTTTTCACATTCAGCGATGTCATGACGTCAGTTGGCACATTATTCACATATGCGCCATCACATAGAATCTCTCCTTTGTAAAACACAGGTGGAACAAGCCCAGCGACAGCCATAGATGAGCGAATATATTTAAAAGCAGAGCCGTTAAAGTGCACAGATTGATTCAAGCTTTTCAGGTTCGTAGTTACGCAGTAGTACTCTAGCCAAAAGTTTTGGATTTGCTGATCTTTAAAGATGGACTTGAGACCTCGATCAAGTGATCGACCTGAAAACAGGCTGATAAACGGAAGGGTAACATCCATAAGAAGATAGAAAAGAGAAGCACCTCTTTTCGACATTTTTTTTGATTGTGTATACACCTCAACATAATCCAATTCTCTTGCATAGAGTGCGCCCACGAATGCACCCATACTTGTTCCTCCGACAACATCAATAGGAATATTCTCCTCTTCCAGTGCCTGGATAACGCCAATATGAGCATATCCTCTTGCCCCGCCTCCACCCAGAACTAGTCCAAATCTTTCTCCTGTCAGATAGCGAGCAAATCTTTCATAATCCTTGTTACAGAAATTCAGTTCTTTAGGACTTAGAATGTGGTGCACTCTTTTGTACTTCATGCAGTCCCCAATATCCGTGTGCTGGCATGTCTCCAAGGGATTAATATGCACATCCCTTGCTTCAAGCATTTCGGTATCGGACTCCGACTCATCCGATTCTTCATCGCAGAATACACTGTAAAACAGAGCTGTCCTAATCTTCGAGGATTTTTTCTTAAACACAGTCCTTCTCTCATACAGCTTCACAAACTCAACATTCTTCCTCCCAAGACTATTATGTGCAACCTCATTTCCAACTAAGAAAATGATGTCACAGTATGGATGGATGATCTTCAGCATTCTTGAATACTCGTTTTCAAGATAGACCACCACAACTTTGTATCTTTCTTTGAGGCTATTTAGATATTCTGAAACAACCAACTCGCCTATCTTATCAAATGCGTTTTTGCCTAAAATTTCTGAAATGTGTGTGTTTTTCAAGAATATAGCATCTGTGCCCAGCGTTTTCCTCAATCTCTGAATGAAGATGCCACATTTTTGGGCAGTAGGCGTAATTAAAACGATTTTTGATTCTATACGTGTTTTCTCAAACATTTTTCTAGTTAATTCTTCATAGAAATGAGGAATACTCCTCATCAGGGAGTCTACTGTCAGCTTTGATATTCTTATGACATCTACTATTTTCTCTGCAACCAGGTCATCCTCAAACTTATTACCAAGGATGCATTCCTTGCATCCATACTCGACACCATCCACAAGGCAAATATACTCGCATCTCGTGTTTTTCTGAACAATGTGCTCGCCGTAGTGCACCCTTCGCCAATCTGCAGTAGCGCCCAGGTAAACCATTGGCAGCGGTAAGTTTCTCAACAGCTTGTCATCCATTTCCGCCTTGTTTCTCAATTTGCTGTAGGGCACGTATTTTAGGATAGTGGATTCAGTAGATGTGCATTTGAAGCCCTTGTAGTAGTTAAAGAACACTCCAAAGTATCCAAACAGCGAGTTCTTTTCAAAGGCTACTCCATTAATTATCAAAGAGCCCGAAACCACATAGTAAACACAGTCCTCAAGGATCACCTCATTTTCAACCGTGATTGTATCAAATTTGTGGTTGCTGATTTTAAAATTCCGAAATATGAACTCTTCAAAATTTGACGTTTTGATGGTCTCCAATCTTGCTACTTGTGTATGAATCCTGCAAAGTCTCAGGGACGGTTCGAAGCATGTCTTTTCAAGTATTTTCAAAGCCAAGTATCTATCACAGGTTTCTGGAACTTCTGCTACTCGTAGGTCCGTAATTGCTCTCTTTGTAATGTGGTAGTCGATGCCGAGAAAATCAAATCCATTGTGTGTGATCTGGCCCTCTTTTATTATTCCGATTCTTGTAGTGTTGTGGAGAACCTCAGCTTGTCCTTCTGCGATGTAAAAATTTTTGTTAATAGTTGTTCCCTTTTGAATTGTGAATGTTCGGTCTATTTTAATCGAGTTAAAAATAAGAAATGGCGTTGTGGAAAGTGAGGTATCCTGCAAATGGGAAAGTGAAGCGGGCAATTCAATTTTTAAAGGCTTTTTTAAATTCTTTTGCTTAGATCGCAGGCTTATAAGAAGGTAGAATGTGAGAAGAGCAATGAAAATGGTTATGCAAATTATGATAGCTGGCATGGGTATAAACAAACGTGGATTATTTATATTTGAGCATATTATGTATTGTGAATGAAAAATTAAAAATTGCTGCTTGAGTGCCACATTGGCTTCTAGTATGAAATAACCGAGATATAGCCCTTGATAATGAAGACAATACATGCTTTTCTTGTCAAGTATTAGCATGATTTTGGCGTTTGTGGCAGAGCCTCATCATCTGCAGGAAGTACATCTTGGGGTATTTTAAGTAATATATGTTGTTGAGGCTATTCAAAATAGCATATGAAAAACTGTCGAATCAATAATCAATTTATTTAAAAAACACGTAACGACATGATCAAGAATTATTAGATAAGAAGCACAAGGCAACCAACATCAAAACAGTACGTTTTGATTCAAGTCTTATCCAAGGATATACTATTCTGGAGCAGCTGCTAGACTGTGCAATGCATATCCGAAAGCACTAGATTACTCATTTAAGCCAATTTATTCTAGCTAAGTATTAAATAATTCTCAAGTAGTTTCTAGTTTATAGCTAACTAATTCTATTGAGCGGCATATCTTTACAAAGAAAGTGCGCTACATAAACACAGTTGCCCATAAAGTAGTTCAATATAAGCAACTCACAGCTGAAGCGCCAGCTATGAGTTTAGGGCTGTAAAGATTGCTCTGTAACATTAGGCACTACCCGCACTGATGGTTCTTCTGGATCCTGCCATCTAATAATTCTTGCGGCCTTAGTTCTGTGCTTGGTATTTCCTGATCTGGTTCTGGAGGTTGATTTAGTGGGAACGATTGCGGCATTGATGCCAGAATCGTATTAGTGGGCTCTTGGCTCAAAAAGTAATCAAGTGTGGAGAGAAAACCGTGAACACTTGGACGTTCTTTTGGATCTTTTCTCAAGATGTAGTCAATCAGACGCCTCAATGCTAAGGATACAGTGCACTTGTTATCACGACGAAAAAATATTGGGTTATCCTCACGAATACTACGAAATAATTCGACTAACTAGTGAGCAAATCCAGACACGCTGTATCAGCCTGATAGTAGAGTTTGCACTGCTTGCTTCAACATCTAACTTTTGGGTATAAGTATGGTGCACATAGTTTTTATGCAAATATTTTTTATGTTTTTTTGAGTTCAAAAATCATAAATTTAAGGAGGATCATACCCCTATGGATACCGAAACAATAGATCAGTTAGATACAGACTCCACCACAAAGCGGGGAACGAGATCACGCACAAGAGGAGTAGAGAAGCGTGGAACATGGAGCACAGCTAGAAAAATAATAGTTACTGAAGTATGCCTGTTGGCATTAGCATGTGTGTCAATGACAGTGCTATTTCCAAGTCTCACCGGCGTAAGACGTGCTGATGCGAACAATGGCTATTTTGATGTTCCCAGTTATCTTGATGGCTATATGGACGGTTCGGTTTTGATAAATAAGGCACACTTTGCGGAAGAAATAGCCTTCTATCATATGTATACTAAGTGCATGTCTAATCTTGCAGATACCTATGATAAGGTCAATCATTTTCTAAGGAATAATAAAGGCGACATTACTACACTTGTTGGAGACGAGAAGTGGAAGGAGATCGTTGATACCGTAGAAACTACACGGAAAAACATGCTACAGGCAATCCAGGACGAAGGCAAGAGCGTCGAGTCGACTACATTTGACATGTGGAAGGAGCTTTACGAATTCAAGGATGTTAAGGGCAACACCACATCAGCAGAGCTTGCAGATGTTTCCAGCTTCATAGCTAGGGGAGAGCTGTTGCGGAATGTTGACCAAGAGTCCCTACAGCAGGCAGATGCAAAGCTCATGTCCATCATAGACACCAAGAATAATGCGATCTTGACATCCATAAGCGACGCGGAGAAGAAGATTTACGCTCTTATGGATAGGGAGATAAATGAGGCCAGTTTTTTTACGTATCCAATGTTGAAGATGAGTTGGTGGTACCAGAGATTCGGATACAAGGATTACATGGACTCCGTATACAATGACCCTATGTCCTTCTACACCGTCTGTGCTTTTGGCTGTCTTCTTGTTGTCGTCCCATTTTCATTTACCTAAGGGACAGGGTGCACCTGAGGAAGAAGCCCCACACGAATCCAATTCTTCGATCACATCCAAAATCGGCTGCGCAGCCCAGTCCTTCTTCCAACTTAATTAAACATTGAGACTCCAACAGCGTTCAAGTCTTTGAGTTGTTTAAGACATCTTAATATACTAGTTTATTACTTAGTTCTTCCAGTACCACACATTGCAGAGAAGTTAGATGCCAGCTTCTGCGGGACAGATCTGTGTCATCCACACTCATTTATTCACTCCTATCCATGATCCTCTGAAAGATGTGCAAGTAGTCTTTCTAGCAGAGTCTCCTTTTAGAATGACAGCACTCGACTTCGGCCATCAGATTTGCTGGTTTGTGAGTCCATGCATTTAGACGAACTCCTTTTGATGCAGATCCCTTCCTGGCATGCTAACTGAATACGATCTGGAAAATAAAATCATTAATGATGACGGCTCAGTTAAAGCTGAAGATCTCAAGCGAGAATGCAGAGGCGGAGTCAAGGCGAGCCTGCGCCACATAGTCTACAGGCTTCTCATGCTGGGTCTTGAGCATGATTACACGTCCGAAAGAGAGAGCAGGGATGTAGAGATCTATGACAAACTCTGCGAGCAAGTACGATCGGGGTATTCACAGGGGCAGCCAATACTGTACAAGACTGCTTCGGGCAGACAGACGGATCGTCCCTTCGATCTGCTGCTTGAAGGATTTCCGGAGTATTTTTCATCAAAAAACGGAAATGATGCCTGCCATGACTATGTTTTCATACCCGATCCTAAAAAAAGTGTGAGTATGAGTCTGGTGCAGGATGTGGCACAGACAGTGCATGCGCCCACAGGCAGAAAGACGATGGATCTAGACTCCTCATACACACAGCCATTGATTGATCTTGAAAAAGGCAGCACGAACATATGCGACGAAACACGCAGAAACGTTAAGCAGATACGCAAGGATGTTGAGAGAATTTCTCCGCAATTCAAAATACTGAAGCTCAACGAAGAATACGACGTGGATGTGAGCTATATTTACGAGAATGTTCTGATTCTGTATTCAGAGCTGTTTCAGAGTACATATATGCAGGGAGCAGAGAGTCTGATGGTCCCGCTCATATACAACTTCGTTACCTACGGCTGCAGCTCTGAAAAAGATCTAAAGAAGGCTGAGGCGAGTGCGTTTCTGTGCTATGCAGTGATGATAAAGGGGCTGAAGCGCGACATTGAGGACAACCAGGCCACCATGATCAGCAGGATCAAAACCGAAATGAAGGCCAAGGAGCCAGCTATATATGATCACCTTTTTAGTGATATTGAGATCTCCCTCGATGGATTGCTGGTGAGGTGGCTGAACTGTCTCTTTCTGCAGGAATTCGCATTCGATGATTGCCTAAGGATATTCGACTTTATGTTCAGCTATGAGCCGCAAAAACTTCCGAGGCTTCTGCTATACATATCTGTGGCCATCTTCGGAGACTACAAGGATAAGTTTGTGCACCAGGATCCAAATCAATGCGGATGCTTGGAGCTTATCTTTGCAAAAGGCAGGCCCTTTACGAAGGGAGCAAGCCCAAGAGACATTGAGAGGATAATCAAAAAGGCACGCCATTACATGGAGGAAGAGGACCACAAGAATTAAACTATTTTTAGATTTCAGGAGTAACTCTCTTAGTCTCCAGATCTATTCACAGAGTGATTGGATGTTACTAGTAACTTATAGTCTGGTTGTATTAAGCTTATAACTGATTTCCCGTCAAAATTTGAATTAATTTAAAAATTTTTAACTCTACCCTAATGAATATTACACAGACATACAAGGTAGTCTGCAGCCTGGTTGTACTCGTGGGAGCTACGCTCCGGAGCTCGGGCAATTGTGCAAACCCAAATGGCATTAAGAATCCCAATTCATCTGGGGGTGTTCGCCAAGCAGCTAGTGAAGATTCTGGAAACCGACAGCAGGCAGTACGCTCTTCGCACTATAGCTTTGAAGGATATTCTGAGAATGCAACTAAAATATCTATATCTAGCCAAGGTATTAGATTTATTGGCAGGAATATTAAGAGACTAGTGAAACTAGAGAGGCTGGATCTCAGTAGAAACAAACTCGAGACACTACCACCTGAGATAGGAGAATTGAAGAATCTAAAAATATTGTGTCTACATGGCAACAAGTTAAAGTCATTACCAGACTCTATAGGAGAGCTGGAGAATCTACAGTACTTGGATCTTAGTGGTAACAAACTTGAATCATTACCAGCTGAGATGAAAAAACTAACTAATCTCCAGTACCTGGATCTTAGTAATAATAAGTTTGAGACACTGCCGCCTGATATGGGGAAGTGGAAGAGTCTACGAAACCTGTATCTGAATAATAACAAATTTAAATCACTACCACCTGAGATAGGAGAGCTGGAGAATTTACAGGAACTGGATCTCCATGGTAACGAAATTGAAGCATTGCCGGACACTACAAGAAAGTTATCAGGTTCACTGAAGTTTCTGGATTTAAGAGACAATAGCATTTCAGAGGAGGGAGAAAGGGGAAGTACTCTGGGTAGGAGGGAGCTGAGAGATATATTTAAGGCCTGTGTCAAGTTTGATGGGGATGTCTTACAAGGACCACAGTGAGTCAATTATTG